AACCTTGCCATGCAAACCCAATACAATATTTTAGGCATTTTACCTCAGATATTACATTAACACTTTGGAAATATCATGTTCTGGCTTGAATGTACTGAGTTAGGTTGAAGAATGTTCTTTGGCAACATCACGTTATAATTACTTTGTTAATACAAAAAAATGTAAATAATTATCAATATTATTGATCATCTAGTTAACACCAATGAAGAACAGATACATGTAGAGACCATGTCAGGTCACCAGTCACCTCTCCGGTGAGCTTTACTAGTTAGGCTGAAATGTCCTATCCAGATCCAACTTTAAAGAGTGCTATTAGCCGCCTTGAAGTTTTTTATCACTGTAGCATTACTAGGTCCTATGATAGTACTGGCAGGTGTTTGTCTTTTTCCCAAGGAGGTTAGCAGGGTAATTGCTTTGGATATTAATTGCAATTTTCTGATTGTCATTTAGGTGCAGAAGGAGTGCTAGCCTGTGTACAGGAGCCATATAGGGGTATTTGCTGTGAGAACAGCTCCACGTAGCACTGTGTCGTTTTCAATATCTTTCTAAGAACAAGTGATTTCTTCAGAATATAGAAGTGTATTGGTTCCTGTGAGGAAGTGCTTACAGTTCTGGTTCATGGAAATCTCCCCCACCAACACTTTCTGCCATTTTTATCCTGCTGCTTCTATATGCTGCTTTCTGTACTTAAAACATAGGGATCATCCATAACACTGGCACTCCCAGCAATGAAAAATCAGAAGTCAGCCTTCAGTCAGCCATGGGCTGATTTCAGGGACACCAAATCACCAGATTTTCCTATAAATAGTGATGTTTCAGAGAGTGATGAACTGCATATTTTATGTCCTCTTCAGGAAATGTGGTTTTGGGCTTTAATTACTAGAGTCTCCTTGAGATCAGTGGTAACAGTCTTCTGGACTTCAGTAGTATCTCTGATCCACATTTTTTCAAATATAAAACAAATAGAAGGTATAACACATCATTTTTGCAGCATAGCGTTGCATCTAGTTATGAAACAGCTTGAGATTTTTTTTTTAATCTGTTCAGCTCTACTGATACTTAACATACTGAAATTTATCTAGTTCAGCTTTAGTTTTAATTTCTCTCATGTGTCTTTACTTCTGAAAAGTTTTGGGTGCAATTCTGTGCAACTGAGGACATTAATGCCACCTGCAAAATACGTCGTGCTTAAACCGAGAGGTACAAAGACGCTAATTCCACTAGGGTTAGTAGAAGTCTTGACATGAACTATGTTGAGATCAGGATTTGATTTACTGCATTGCTTACCACGTAATGCATAACTAATTGTTATGTGTTCGGGAGATGTCACAAATCCAAAGTTACTTAAGTATATTTTTGATTTTTGAATAACACTTGTCTTTTGACAATCACTTTTACTTTGATATCTGTTCTTAAAACTACCTCTTGTGGGTAGAAAAATAATACTTCTCATTTCAGTGACATTTTAGTAATAGTATAATTTTCTGCCAGTAATTCCATCTTTTTGCAAATATGAAATTATGTACTAAAAACTCCTTCTTTCTGTGTCTGGAGGCTGTATATGTGACTTTCAATTTATGTGCCATGTTGAATATGGAATACAACCATGTGCATATATAAACCATGCGTATTGAGTTTCTGCCTAATCTTCCAGTTTACTGTAGCTATGGATTCTCTACCACTCTCAAGAAAATAAAAATTACTGAATATGAAACCTTAAGGCAGGGGCTAGTGAGTTTGAAAGGTTTTGTAGCTGGATCAGCAGTGCACTCTGTACTTCAGGCACCAGCCTAAGAGTGAAAGCAGAATTGCGGTCAATTAAAGAGTAATCATTGGATTGCCCAGAAAATGCTGCCCCTCTTCAGTGCCTCTTAAAGGAGTCATTATTCAGTCCCAGATGCAGTGTGTTTTGACTTCTTGGCAACTGCAAAAGAAAACGGGGAGATATCATTTTTTGGTTTCTGTCAGTGTGTTCAGCTTTGATTACCTTGGAAGATGGGCTCTTATTCCAAGATGTTTACAGTCTAAGATCAGATTTTGGCACCCTTGCTCATACTGAATAGCATTAGTCAGGGCTGAGCTGCTGCTCATTCAGGTCAGATAGATCAGAATTAGTCATCAGTTGAAACGGTGGTATTTATGTAGAGCCATGATGGTGATTCAAACATCCTTCTGTGAGGCAGTGATGCAAATGTTTTCTCTACCTCTCTTTTATATGAGTACCATAAAGCACTTTATTTTAAGCGAAGGCTTTTTTAAGAGGGCAATTGAATGGATGAAACTGGCACACAAAGGAGCAGGAGAGATTTTGTACAGAAAGGATAGCATGGAAGAAAGCTCCGTATTCCAAACATGGTCCTAAGAAACAAACTTGAAAGGTTGGCAGGTTTTCACTGGACTGCCAATAGATGAGCAATGATTAATTTGCCTTTTTAAAACGCTGTCTCCTGCCAACCCCAAATCCCTTTCCCCCATTTCCAGTGCAGCATTCAGCCCGCAGGGTAAGTGGATGATGAGGTACACAGTTGTGTGGAAGGGATTCAAACAATGTGAATGAGATTTTGATCTTCTGGGACTTCTGTGATACAGAAAGTGAAGAGGAGGAAAGACAAACTGGTCTTCATTTGCAGAAGAGGCTTTCTTTTCTTCTGTGCTATGTGGCTTATGGCTGAGGAGAGAGGAGGGGAGTTGTCTTCCTGCTTATATTAAATTGCCAGGCCTTTAATTTTGACCAGATGCAGCACGCAATTATGGCAGCTGATAGATAGTTATAAATGAATTAGTGTTTGACAAACCAAACTTTATTTCAAGTAAGATCAGCATCGCAGAAGACGCAGGAAAGCAAATTTTGTGATGGGATCAGTGCATTTTTTAAATGCTCGGATTTCTTGCCAGAATAAAAGGATGTATTAGTGCAAGGAGGCAAAGTATCCTAATTTCTAAGTATACCTCTGGAACAGACGCCTCGCTGCTCTTCCCATAGAGGAAGGAGGACTAAATACCGGTGGGCAGTCTGAACCTTGTCTCTGTTTGCTGAACTTTCCTTTTTGCTGTGGTTCATATTGGGGTTATAGGTAGCATTCCTGTCACTGCCACCGCTCTCCCCACACTAATTGTCATGAAGTACAGAAGGTTCAAGTGCGCTTGGTTCCCAAGGCTGCTAATGAGCCCTGAGCTCTCTTCACCCTTAATGAACCAAGGTTGGTTTGTGGGGGATTCTTGTCCATCCCTCCTTTTCCCTGGTCAGGGGAGGAGGCAAGAGTTCACACAACCGAACAATGACTTTACAGTGTAAAGACGATGCAGCTGTGCCATCTGAAGCCACCCTCAGTTATGAGGAACAAAGCTTAAATAGATTGTACTGTGAAGAGGTACAGCTCTGTGAGTGTGAAGCATAGCTTTTGCTTCTGCTTCACTGACCCGTCTGCTTGCGGCAGCGACGGGCCCTTGACGGGAGCTGAGGCAGGGAGAGCTACGTAGGGCGACTCTTTCAAAACCACTCTCTGTAACGCCGAGCGCAGGAAAGGAAGCAAAAGGAAGTTTTGGTTGATCTCTGATGGGGGTGTACTGCTGCCTTCTCCAGAAAATCCCATGCCCCCCATTTAAGTCATTGATTCCTAATCCATTTCAGGTGATTAATAAGGCCACTAAAGCAAGCCGTAGTTCATAAGTTTTGGCAGTAGAGAGTACTCACACAAAAGTGGATGTACGCACACACACACAAAAAAAACCACCTCCTTCTAGGCAAATCACACATTTCACTATCTCACTACATTTTACTATCTTACTCTCTAGAGGGTCTTCTTGTACCAGAGGTTAGGTTCATCAGAAATTTGGGCTAAATGCCTTTAGGCATTTCAGTTATGACGCTGTGCGATTCTCTAGCTGTTATTTCTTTTACTACACACGTGTGTGTGATATATTTTTGGGCATGTGTACAGGTACATATGTGCAAAAGTACAGGTACATATAAATGCAGTTGCATATGTTCTTGAAATACATAGGAGGAGTATATTAGTATATGGTATATATATCATACATATATATTATATGTAAAAGATCACATTATTCCCCATTTATATTCAGATATATATTTAAGAAGTAAACACAGACATCTACTCTAAATGCTGTGCTATTGCTATAATAGCCAATAAAAATTTCAACCTGATGAAATAACTCTGTTAATTCTAATAGTGATGGTAAGGTTATCAGTTATAATACTCTGGACTAATCCCTGCACAATGCTATACAAAGGTGAAGCTTTTTGAAAAAGTTCTACTACTAGGTGAGGGAAGCCAAAAGCAGCATCTGCAGAAGAAATCTAATTTTGCTGTAATAGGCTGTTTGAAGGTCATCGTTTTGGGTTTTAATAATGCACAGAAACATCTGCTGTTTTTCTTGATTGCATGAGAGAGAAAGGGAAAAAGAAAGAAATTAAGAAGGAGCACTTTTTTTCATTCTTAAGTGAACAGAGAGGGGTAAAAAAATATAAAGCAGTCCAGTTTTAAATACCTTGACATGTGCATGTGCAGGTTCAAAACTTTAGATTGCTCTCCTGACCGGCGTGGTGGGTTGATAGCCCTGGGAGCAGTGGCGAAAGTTGACAACCCCCCACGGCTGACCCCTCATGTTCTCTCTCGCCTAATTGAATTTTACGTGTGTTTCCAGATAGCTGATCAGCTTCCCTGGATTTCGCTGACGCCACAGGAAAGCTTTGCCTGAAGATGGAAACACTGGAGTCGGAACTGACCTGCCCTATCTGTCTGGAGCTGTTTGAAGACCCGCTGCTGCTGCCTTGCGCTCACAGCCTCTGCTTCAACTGCGCGCACCGCATCCTGGTCTCCCACTGCGCAACCAACGAGCCGGTGGAGTCTATCACCGCCTTCCAGTGCCCGACCTGCCGCTATGTCATCACCCTCAGCCAACGCGGTCTAGACGGGCTCAAGCGCAACGTCACCCTGCAGAACATCATCGACAGGTTTCAGAAAGCCTCGGTCAGCGGGCCTAATTCCCCCAGCGAGACCCGCCGGGAGCGGGCGTTCGATAGCAACAGCATGTCGTCCTGCGAGAAGGTCCTCTGCCAGTTCTGCGACCAAGACCCTGCCCAAGAGGCGGTGAAAACCTGTGTTACCTGCGAGGTGTCCTACTGCGAGGAGTGCCTGAAAGCCACTCACCCCAACAAGAAGCCGTTCACCGGCCACCGTCTTATCGAGCCTATCCCAGACTCTCACATCAGAGGATTAATGTGCTTGGAGCATGAGGATGAGAAAGTTAACATGTACTGCGTGACCGACGACCAGTTAATCTGTGCCTTGTGTAAATTGGTCGGGCGACACCGTGACCATCAGGTGGCAGCTTTAAGTGAGCGCTATGACAAGCTAAAGGTTAGTGCTACCTATCCACCTTTCTAATCAAGCAGTGGGTAATTGGGAAGGAAAGTGCTCTTCAGTTGCATGCTAAATTCTTCATTTTGGGCAGGGGTTGGGAAAAGTAGGTGTGCAGTCTCTAATCGGATGAAATACACATATCAGATCTATATGTGCATTTGCTCATCACCATTTAAAAGGTGTTGGATTTTGCTTTAGGAAAGATTCCTCAGTTGTGCTTTGATTTCTCTATAGCTATCATAAGGAATATGCAGCATATACTACGGTTTAGGTGAATTTTCTTATTTACCTACAGCTTTATTCATGGCAGCTAGCAAGGTTTAGTGCTGACTGCACATACACAGGCGCTGACTGAAATGTCAGGCATTCTTTTCGTACGCTCTGCTGTTGATTATTTTTCATTTGGTTGCTTTCATTGTGAAAAGCCCTTCACATTGCCGCTAACAGGAGATACATTTATCCGTGCCGGCTTCAGGGATACCAGCTGCCCATCCAGCCAGGGTAACCGAATGCTGGCTCCACTTTTCCCGCGCTGCCTCCCACCCGGGCTCACAAGCGGTGCAGTCCTGGAAACAATACAAAAATTGTTTCTGAGCTTCTTGTGGCATTCCTATGGTTCGGCGAGCTCCCGGCACATCTCCTGCCAGGTAGCTGGGCAGCTTTGGCAGCCCCCTGGCCCTGTGCAGGATGCCCTGGGTGGGGTGGCGGTGGGCAGCCAGATCTCTGGGGGCTCTCCAGGCTGCCAACAGAGGCACAGCTCCTGCTGAGTAGTGGCCTCCCACCCACATGGGTGTACATTCCTCTCATGCCAATTTAGGTGCTGCTGCAGAGCAAAGACAGGAATTAAGCACCCCACATTTTCCTCCACCCACTCCCTCCGGGTGGTCTGCGTGTGTCTGTGCGTGGCTGGAGGGTTTTTTTTTAAAGATGGACTGCAATCAAGAAACCGTAAGTGCAGAGGGCAAAGCTTGTTTGTCAGCTGTCTCATTCGGAATTTTGGAGGTGGAAAAAGAAACTGAATTAATAGATTTGACTAACTGGAAGGGTTTTCTTAAATACCTTCAGGCAAATATATGTGGCTGCACACGTCTGTGATAACTTTATGTGAATGCAGGTGAAATCTGCATACACATGCTGTGTGGGTTTTGTGCTTCTATGCATGTGCAAACATGCATATCATATTCTATGATTATTTTAACATAATGAAAGGCATTTCTTTATCTAGACCTCATAGCTTCCTTGCATCTCCTAAAGACTTTTTTATTTACTAAGGAGTTGTTATTTTTGCCTTTTTTTTTTTTTTCTCTCTCTAAACTAGTTTGTTATTTTAATTGGTAAGAGTTTAGCCATTGATAAAATGGGCCATGGACTATAAATGTGAATAGAAGGTGCCTGGACTTACAGTATTTTTCAGTAATCCAATGGGTTTATATCCTTAATAGGTGCTACTGTTTATAAACTAACAGTGATTGAACAATTGTATTGTTTGTCAACTTTATATGAGTAGGAATGCACTACTTAACATTAAATACCCTCAGAATTAAATACTGGCTAAGTATATTTTTGAGAATGTCAATAAATATTAAACATTTATGGTTAGATATGGCAAGTCATGAAAGAAGACTTTAAAAGGCTTATATCTTCTCCTGTGATCTTTGACTTTGTATTGCAGAAAGGAAAAATAAAATTAAGGTATTTTTGCATGACCTATGGCTTTTCTGTGCCAAGATGCCTAACCAAACTCTGAATGGGTATCTCAGACAAGCAAGCAACGTTGACATTAGACGTTACACAATTTAGCTAACTTTGCAGAAGCCTAATAAAGTACTTTCTGCCAGCTGCCTCGAAGAGTAATTCAAGTAGTGATTTAATGGTTAGTGTAGGCCTGGGTCAAATAAATCTTTCCTTATAATGGCAACTCCTATCATTGTTTATATCTGTACAAATCTTTTTTTTGAGATGTGAAATTTCTTCATACCCAAACTATCTGAAAGTACTGTATACAGATAATCATTAACCTACATGAAATCAAGTTCCTATCACCTTTGTCATGAGGCAGCCTATTTCAGTTTGCTAATGCCAGTGATGCCATCAGTCATGCCAGTTGTGCCAGCGGTTTATACTCTGAGCCCAGGAATAGTATGCTAGGTGATTTCCATCCAGATCCAGCATCCACTCTCTGTTCATAAGGTGGTAACCTGAAAACTAAGTCTTTGCTTTCCTCATCGCCTCTTCCATCTCAGAAATTTGTGCTGTTTTATGTATTGAACTCCAAGAATGAGATTTTCAGTTCCTTACATTGGCATTTATCCCTCAGGAGCAAAGGAATGATAGCTGTTCACACCACCATTTGATTGCCAAGAGGCAAGAATTTCAGGTCCATTTTCACATTCAGGTCTCCTTCATAAATGGTGATGTGACCTTTTGAGTCACTGATCATGCTGCTAACGTAAATCTTATGTACGAGCTTGCGGATGGTCTTTGTTAACTTACAGATAATGTGCAGACACCATTGGCAAATTAAATGTTCAAGTGGATCAGAAAATCTCCATCTGAAAAAACGGGTTGTTGCTTGCTATATTGCAGCTGCAGGTTTTTAAAATACATGGGGTTTGATAGATACGCTACCCAAATCTTTAAAAAAAATTGTGAAAGAGTGAGCATGCAGTAGCCAATAGTATAGTGGATTCATTCAAAAATGAGTGATTAATTGTATCTTTAAAAAGAAACGCAAAACCTCTTCAAGTGACACTTTCTTTCTTGTGGTTTTCTTTTTAAATCAACACGTTGTTGATGCTGACAACAGCAACTGGTGTTGCTCTGGGTGTCAAGCTATGCTAATTACTTGCATTCTCTTCCAGCAGTGTTGCTAATTATTTAAACAATAGTTCACCCTTCATTAAGCATAGGACAAAGGATGCCATTACAATCTAGCTCCTTTTGTGGTAAAAATGAAACCCCTTAATTAGGAGTTCTGTACACTTGTCCAACAGAGGCGGCTATGCTCAAGTGTGTTTAACAGTCAATATAACAGCAATTGTGGACATCTGAAAATGAGAAAGTGTTTTCGTTTGGCAACTATGACTCCAATCCTGAGAGGTGCTTTTCTTTCTCAACTTGTACTGGGGTGGAGGTGGTTGAGGGCACTTGTGTTCTTCCAGGAGCAGTCCTTTCTTGCTTAGTTATGTGATCACATCATATACCTTCACTCTTATAGTTGTTTTAGTGTTTATAGATGTGGTGATGGGTTTTTTTTAAGTAGATCGTAGATAGATGTCTATTAAAAATGGAAAAATTATAAACAATGACCAAAACAGAGAACAGGAAATATCTTGGTGATATGCGGAATTTGTGAGGTGGTGGTCAAAATTGTGGTATAAATTAGAAATAATTTTTAGCTACATAAACAATGAAAGCTTTAAAAACAGAAGGTGCAAATGCTTATGTGTAGCCCACCATATTACCTCAGAGGAAATATTTATGGCTAATTACTTTTGATATTGATTCTTTGCTTTTTGTCTTGTTGCAATGGAAAGGAAGAGAAAACTGAATAGTACATTCATTTTTTCAGAGAAAACTCACAAAAATACTATTGTTCTATAGATGTATTTATACTCAAGAAAGTGGTAAGAAAAAAGAAAAGAAAAGATTTATTTTGAACAAGAGATAATACTTTGGGGGGAAGTTACAAGGTGTGGATGGAAATATATAACTCTTTTAATATTAACGAAGAGCCATGAAGAGGTGTAACAAAAGAGGAAGATAGATGGTAAGCCATATTTTTAAATGGTGTAAAGCCAGCATAACTCCATTGAAACCAATATTTTTACTCACCTTTGTATTTACTGAGAATCTGGCCACTGACGCATATATTCTTGCCAAAAAATAGTTTTGGCACATTTTTTGTGATGCTTAGTCAAGAAAGATCTTTTGTTGAATCGAACTCCTGTAGGTTAGCTGTGGTTCTCCATGTTTTTGTTTGAATCTTATTAGTGCTGACGTGTCTTGGGCATGTTTACGAAGGCTGGGCAGTCCTCTGAATGGCATTCAGCAATTCCAGGAACAAAAGGGAGCTTCTTGTTTGTGTGGTTTTCAGTTAGTTTTAGTGGCAGCGTTCATACACATCTATCTTTCCTACACCGTTGATTCAGGATGCAGGGATTCAGTTTTCTACGGTGTGTCAATTCAATTGCTCACAAATATTTTTTTGGTGGGAAGCAGCCATAAACTGTTTCCACAAAGGGAGAATTGCATTCAACTCTTATAAGCCTACTTTGACTGTGTAAAGGTAGGAGACTTTGTCAAGTCCACAGCTTCTACAAATAGAGCGCAAAAATATTTCTGCTTCCCTGCTATGTATATTACGAATTAAAAAACTTCTCATATTTAAATATCTTTGCAGAGATACTGGCAAAATATATGTTGAAACTTTCCAACAATTTTTATTTGGTATTATTTTGTAATTGCAGCTTGATCATTAATTGGTATACTGTGATAGCGTAAGAAGCCAGCATTTACAAATCTATACTCGTACAAACAGTGAGATTGACAAGCTGGAAACATTGGTTTCTGGACTTACATATAAATATGTTATGCACATACATGCAAATATATGTCTGTATACATTTTATTCATTCTATGTGCATATTTATAGTGCTTGTGTTAGTATATAAAGGCAATACTGCATATGTTTGTGTGTATGTAGACTTGTTTGTCTAGAATAGATATACATTACTAGAAATGACATGTATAAGTTCATGAATATCTAGAATCTTGAATTTGAATAAATACACATATGCCTATATTTTTAGTAAATATACACAGTTTCATATATATGTGTAGGTCAGTAAAAATATATTTGATCACATATATATATAAACTACACATTAATTGTTTTACTTGGTATCCAATTTTAATATTCCATGCATGTATCTTTTTTAGTAGCTGAATATTTTCACATCTAAATTTATAGTTTCCCTGTGTACCTTTAACTTTAC